ACCAGGCATGAAACACATGTGGTTCAATTTTAGGTATTTCTCGAAAATCATGTTCATAGTAATCCTATATTATTATCCTGTACTGGAGGAAAGCAAGACTGTGTTCCGTACACAATTCGTACACAATACGTAATTTTGATCCTGATATTGTTTCTTAACTTAGACGTGTGCGTTATGCTATGCAGAGATCAGATAAAATGAATTCCGGATGTTTACTGCGGAAAGGAAAATATGTTGATTAAGTTTTACGTTTTTGCACTTCAAATTATTACACAAACATTTTATAGGGGGATGCAATATATTTAATAAAACCATGACTAAATATTAAAAATACGCACGATGGTTGAAAAACGCTTGTCGCTTCAATATCGAAAATGTCTTGAGCCGTTGTTTTAGTGCGTTTGATGAAGCCATTCCCCCCAAAAAAGGCAAAGCCTAACGTATTTTAAACCCTTCATTTTCTGTGTACCTAAATTATATTCTGCAGTTTCACGTTTCAAAGGTATGTAATACTTTCATTACCCGTGAACAACTGCAAAATGTTACAAAATGGCATTTTCATTACAGGATCCTTTTGTCTGCGTCGGGTAATTTCCGTTGCATTTTTGCACACTTAACGACTCTCTTACAGTGCATCAAACGGCAGTTAAGTAGACAAATGCCCTAAATGTAAAATTGCTTTCGGACTCGAAAAAAATCGTCACTTGCATATTTCAAAGACATTGAATTTTATAGTAGAACTGCCTTTCCTTTGTGCATTGCATAACATTTCAGTTTATTCTCTTTTTATCAGAATCTCAATAATGTTCGCGGCATAAATTTGATGTTTTACCTCAAACTATAAGCTACAAATTTGTGAAAATCTGAAAGTTCCGTTTCGAAATTATATTTTTTGGCTTACATTCATATTAATGGACACACCGAGTTGAATATTAGCGGAGAGAAAGTATAATTGCGAGTTCAGTGAACTCAGAACTTTCGCATAAGTTTATTAATTTGTTTTTGCAAGTCATCCTAGAATAACACTCACATTAGTGGCAATACTGAAACACTGGAAAGATTCTGTAATAATTTTTCAAACTAATTCTAGAAACTTGTAGATTCACAGAAAATAAATGCACGTTTTGCAGGATTTCGCCCTGAAAAACAAACGGGCAAATTAGGACAAAATCAACCAAAACGGAACACATTTTCTTTCTTTCCGTCTATATTTACATATTCAGCAGATACCGACGACCGTCCTCTATAAATAAAAAAATAGGTTACTTCTTTCTGGTTCCATGATACGAGGATTTTCGCACTTCGTATGCAAACACCGTATGCTTTGAAAGGTGGGATAGTGTTTCATAAAAAATACTTTCATATATTATTGATAGCATTACGAGTTTCACAGAGGCCAACAGAAGTATCAATAAAGTGTTTATGTAGCTGCTGCCGTAGAATGTATATTGACAGTTTATATTCACTACTGAATCCACATATTTACATTAAATTTCAAACTTTCAGAGCAGGCAAGATACGAACAGGAAAACTCGAGAAAAATTGGCCAATATAAATTAAATACGTATACAACTTATAAACAAATCTCAGAAAATTAGGTTTTATTTGACTTGGTATCTGGAAAACATAATCTGCTATGTATGGTAGGATGGTTTGTAAATGTTTAATGAGAAAAATTTATAAAATTATACAATAAAAGAGCTAAAGTGTTGAGCTAAATATTCGACAATTTGGGTTCCTCTTGTAAAATAACAATTATATTTTTAAGTGTGAGTATTTCATCGTGATAACTCTTTTGAGCCCAATTGTGATATAGAGCAAAACTGTTAAAAATATTACTGAAAATTTCTTAATCAAATTAGTTGTCAGTTGTTTACCTTATGTTGAAGGAAACGTTGCTTATAAGTGTAATTTTGTCAAAATAAAAAATAACTAAGAAAAAGACATCATCTGATAAATTACTATTCCAAAAGTAAATCCTCTGCTATGGTCTCCCTTAGCTTTAAAGCTCTAATGAGACGATGCTGGTAGTCAAGGGAACAATCATGATAAAAGCTTATTTTTCCTAAAAATTAACAATATAAGTGGTCGTAATATATAAAAGCATAAACGAGTTGAGAGTAACTCGTGTAATAACTGAAACGCACTGAAACCAACCCGTGAAAAATTGGATAATTTATGGCATTCGTTCTAAACAGCGAAAGATATACAAAAGGCAAAAAGAGCTGTTTTACCTGATGAGAAAAGTTTAGAATGGTTTGAACTTAAAATGAAAAGTTTCAAAGTATTTTGCGTATTTTATTTTCGTGAAAGGGTCTTAATTTATTGTACCTACTCGATTTCTATCGTGAAATATATGTTTCGCTCGACTTAACTTACATAAGTTTCTGAAAACTTTGCAGACCATTTTTTCAGTTTGTCTCATTCGCCAGTTTTAACATATAATGGGACTTTTTAGAATTAACTCAATAATTTTAAATAAATCGTTGGGAAAACCAAACTCCCAGCCATCCAAACTCCCAGTTAATTAACATATAAAAAGGTGCGCTACTTAAGACTTGATAACTCATTACCATCTAAGTGCTATTTGATTTTTTTTTAACTTGCCGCTTTACCTTGCTTGATAATTGCTTATATTTGCACTAGATTTTGAACATAGTCAGTCCTAAAAACCATATTATAAGTTGTACTTGTCAATTTTCTATAGAAGCCATGAAAAAGTTTGTCAGGGAACATATAATTTTTCTGTACGAAGATAGATGAGCCAAAATTCCAATATATTATCGGAAGTTCATTTTAGATCCCAACATATCAATTTGTCCAACAGGCACTCTGCACTTGACGAGCAGTCTTGCGGAATGAATAGTTATATAGTATGTATAAATCATCAAAAAAATAAGAAAATGTATTACTGTGTCTAATATTCTATTATTGTGTATGGTATGGAAATCAAATGTAAAACTTAATATATCTGATCTGAAACTTGATATAAATTTTTGAAACTAACGCTCTCCTCCTTTAGTCAATAAGTCAAATAGTATAAAATATACTTTTAAATGCCTCATAGTTGAGATAACTCAAATACTATAGAATAGCTGCGTTTAAGGTGAGTTTTCGGAAAACCCCATAATATTAACTGCCTTTACCGTCAAGTACATCACTGTATGCAATTGTTTGTTCGCAAAGTGCCGCGTTACGGATCAAATGTAATTTTAATATACACCGAACATCCTCTTTTTGGCTTTACATTCCAACAAGTAAGCGTGCTGGAGTTTAATTATGGTGGGAATCATGAACATTACGAAATATACTGGTTTTTGCCCTAAAAGGATGCGTAGGTTATGCTGTTGTCTTTGTGTACACATTAACTTACCCCTTTAGGAAGATTACATTTTACTGCAGCTTGCTCACGCTGTTAATTTATGGGTTTAATATTTTACAGCTTGAAGCTATACTAATTACAGCTTTTAACAATTGGTGACAGAGGCGACATGGGCTCAAGAACAAAAGTGTCTAGAATATTTAAAGAGAACTCAGTCAGTGCGAAAGGTTGAATTTAACTTATAGGTCTGCTGTAACGAAACAGGCGGTAATTACGGACTACGTAAAAAGAACAAGTAGCATGAATAATTGCATGAAATATCAATCGAACCCAGCAAAGAAATAGGATACTTTAAAATTCCCACTAAGCAAATTATATTACGCTCACATATTGACACTGGAAGTCAAGCATTTTCTCTCGACTTCTCTCGAATAATAACTTTAAAAGCCCAATATCCTGAAAGCGCTTTACGGTAACGTAAAATTCGAAACGATCCATTCAAGGTTCGTAAAAAAATCAGATAAACTGGCTTTGTAGCTTCGTGTAAAATAAATTGGATAAAAGTGTGGCATAGCCGAAAAGATGTTCCAAAAAGTAGTCAACATGAAAGCTTAGACAACCCGTTAGACACACGATTAAATAGTAATACAGTAGTCAATTGTGAATTTGAAAAATGTAAAACTAACGGCCAGTGGGTGACAAAATCAAAAATGCAGATAAAAAAATAATTGCCAATAACAGTTTTTCGAAAGATTTTAAATATTTTTATGATTCAATAATATAAGAACTGAACTAACGCAGTTATTCAGATAATGCAGTGAAGATTTCCTTTTCCCTTTCCTATTTGAGCTTAATGGCTTAAATCATTCTACTTGCTTCCCTAAATAAAGAGTTCCGAAGGCGACAGTTTGAAAAACCTTCAGTTGCCGCCCCAGACATCCTTTTGGCGTATCTAATAATTGTCGTAAAATGACACCAAAACGCAAGCTGAAAAGAAAACCTGATGTATACAGGTATTATATTCAATATTGCTGAAATCCTCTTTACTGGCAGACAGACCTGAATATTTCACCTAATTGGATCCGAAGGAGCAATTATGTTTATTAAGAATTAATATTACACAAAAACACGTTGCCTTTCATGTCAAGATCAAAACCTTTTAGAGTTTCCTTTCAACATATTCGGGCGCAATATAGAGGAGCTTTAAATCTGATATATTTTTTTGGACTACGACGAGACCAAGCCTTTATTTCTGTTGTAAAAAAAATAATGTTATATTTCAGCTCTTCGGGCAAAATATGTAATATGATGGTTGTTATTCTGAGATAATACTCATATTTATCCGACTTGGTTTCGATGGTAGGGATAAAATAATATTTTGTTGCTTACCCATGTCGTTTTTTTTAATACTTCGTGACATAATATCTAATTTGATACACTATCAGTATATTGCATATTGTGGGAAAATTGCGACGAAAAATTCGCGTATTCTAATCACTGCGTTGAGTTACGAAAATTAGAAATTCCAAAATTCCAAGTTTACTCTTCAAATAATATTAGTGTCTAGCAATTCACATAGCTCCTTCACTAACATCGTTAGCGCTACTCAGGAGCACAATTTATTTATCAATTTTGCTTCTCTAATGACACATTCCGAATAAACTTCTCCTTTTTCTAGCCCTTCCGGACGAGGATCCGGTAATCTCCGGCGTCGAGGAACAATATCAGATCGGCGATGAGATCAACCTGAATTGCACTTCAGGCCGCAGCCGACCAGCATCAATACTCCATTGGTACATTAACGAACAACAGGTATTTGATGATTTTCCTTTTAGCTTTCCGTTTTATTCCATAACCGCCAAGCTTCCGGAAGCTTCTTAATTCGATATAAATYGCATTACATAYATTGATAGAGTACAGGAAACAAGTTATAAATGAGGAATCATTMATTTTCGCCTAATTTTAGATCTTTWGTTGCACKCTTCTGTCGACTGGCTTTGAGTTTGGCTGCTTTGAGAGGCTGTTTTGTAAAATTGTGGGTACTTTTYAATTTTCATATTYTATAGATAGTCAGAARAAAATCAATAATTTAAGAGACGCTCAATTATGGAGATGTTGAACGCATAATATTTTTGGTTTAACAAGCAAATTTAGACATTAAATTTGAATTTGATTGAAAAGCTTGCTTATAATATTTAACCATGGGAGATGCCATTGGAAATGTTGATAAGCAAGATCCGAATACTAGCTTAAAGCGGAAAAATAAAAATTACTTTAAGAGAAATATTTGCTTGTATAGGTTTTATCTAAATTTACAACTCGCAGACAAATGTAACCAATTCCAAGCCGCGGCTTACATTTGCATTGCATACATTGCATTTGCTTAAAGGAGTTCTAATAAGGTGTGAACGAGAAAATAGGAGTTTTTAATATGCTTCAACTGCAAAAGTTGAGCTTCTAACTGCAGTAAAGCAAAATATATTATAAAATAAGCTGTTGAAGCAATTGAGGCAATTTCTATGCACTACTGGAAGCATCAAATAAGGGATTAGACTAAAACATATTCAGTTCAAAGCGTTACAAAATTTAATTCAATCAATGTCAGGATCTACGAAAATAATAATTGAAGAGCAGTTTGACTGGAAGAGCTGGTAATGCACTCAAACATTAATTAAATAGAAGAAATGAAGGAGAAACATTCATAGAAGAAACAGAAACCTTACCTAAAATGAACTAGAGAAATAACTAGTAATAGTGCTACAAAGGCCTTAATTGCTTCTACGCAAAAAGACAAAATAGAAAAAATAAACTAAATAAAGTAGTAATAAAAGTAAAATGGAAAGTTTATGACAGGAATGATTCGTTGAGCATTTCAAAATGAGCTGCCACATTCAGAACTTTAGAACAATGACTTGAGCGCAACGTTCGAAATACATTTTCTTCATATAGCGTTCCAAATATGCCTAACTAATTAGCCAAAAATTATATAACGAATTAATTATCGAATATGGAATTACAATTTATATTCTGCATCACAATTGCATATGCATTTTTTCGCTTCAATCGGGATAATTTTAATTTCAGATCCAGAAACCTGAAGCTTTAATTCCATACCCGATTGAGCATCATGCGAAGGGTTTGGTGAAGACAAACTTGGGTTTGAGGTTCATATTGACCAATCGTCATTTTTTGGGCGGCTCCATGAAAGTGAAATGTGTCGCTTCAGTGGCTCCAATTTTATTTAGTGAAGATCGAGAGACGGTGGTTCAGAGTTTGCCGGTTGTGAAAGATATGAGAGAAGCACTATTATTAGGTGAGTAAAAAACTATTACGTAAAACTTTACGTTTTCAAGTGTACGCACTCTGATGTAACAGGGATAACAATTTAAATTAAATATGTGAAACCCACTTTCAAGAATACAAAAATCTTATTCAGCATAGATTTTCTGCAACAATTTTCCTGAAGGACACTTATAATGTGATAACACTAACGTAGAAGGAAATAAAACAGTTAATTAATAATATAAAAGCATATTTTCAGTGTAAATCGTTGTGCGTCAATTTTCTTATGATTGTTCAGCGTCTAGCTTTATCCTTTTTAACTACTTTTGCTAATGGTTCTTTCTATTTATAGTATTTGCAATTATATGTTTTTTGCTTGGTTGACTAGTAAAATCGTAAATGACAAAATATTTTCCAAACGTAACTTATGAGCAAAAAAATATGAAATCTTACAAATTCACATATGCTAATGGTGATTTTTACCACTGAATTGATCTGATCGATAATGTTATCCAGCTTCCAGCCTACTCCGATTTTTTACAGCGGCACAACTGTCTTCAAATATTTACCACCTGTAATGAAAGTTTCGAATAGGTCACGTCAATAAAGTGTCCTTTCCTTTGAACTCTGCAAAGCAAATTAAGTTCGGTTTTCCTGCTATCAAGGATATTTTTATTACACACTGTCATTATATGTGCTGAAAACGTGTGAGATCACTAAGCCTCAAAGTTCGTGAGTTGAGCTATTTAGTTGCCCCATCGAAATATAGAAACCTAATTATAAATTCAGATTCGCTGTTGGCAGTTTTTTCACGAAAATGGCATCCTTATTAAACATAAGCATGTTTCCAATTCGATAAAATTCCTCTACTTTTTAAAGCTGCTCAATGATAAAACCGTCACCGATCTTCTAGTTATTACAAAAAGTGTATATTTCACAAGCAACTTCAGGAACTTGATAATTTGTATGGGTTTCTAGAATCTCAAAATATAATTTAGAGGCTAAGTGTTAATTTAAATTTAGCCGGAAATTTCCTTCCTAGAATATACATAGCATTCTTTTCAATTTTTCATAAAAAATTATTGTTGCTCCTTGTACTGCAATTATGGAGCCACCCTATCACAATAGTGAATTTGCTTTTTCTGGATAGCAAACGACAATAAATTTATTATTTTTAAGTGTATTCAAAACATTTTTGATTGGTTAAGGAAAAATCATCGATAGAAAACAATGGCACCTAACCAAAATTACGACATTATTTCAATAAGAAACTTCCTCAGTGCCTATTTAACATAAACTAAGTTGGCGTATTCTAGTTCGACAACTCTAAATGGGGCTCAAACTTATGGGACAAAAACGGCTTCGCTAATTTAGCGTGGAAGTCAATTTTTAATTTAGTTAATAACTTCTAAAGCCAGATTAGCTATTTTAAGGGTGGCAGGAAATAACCGGTAGTGATTTCAACTTCTATGGATAAAGTATTTATCTGTAAAATAGTTTTTGATGAGCGCTCGAAATAGAGTTTTGAAAGGTAGCTTCGAAATATACAGGTTTTACGTCTACTATCAATTCAGTTTGTATATTCTTCTTCGAGAAGTTTTCTTGATTTTATTGAATCTTAAATATTTGATGGTTTCCTTGATTACATACATATTAGATTTTTCAATTAATGTAAATAACACTGCCTGATGGTAGAGAGTAAAAAGCTTTAGATTTATGTAATAAATTTTTTGCCAAATTCACCTTTCCGTGCATAAAATTGATGGAACATAAGTTTAATAAGTTTAAATATGCACTTGAACATTCTTTTATATAAATGTGCTTACATACACCCATCTAAGAAAAATTGGTTTGTTTATTCACCGATCAAATTTTAATCTTTAACACAAAATTATCGTGCTCATTATCCTTGCAGTAATTTAAATAGTATTAAATCTGTTTTTTATTATTTGTTTCAGTAAAAAGTTCATCGAGTCGAAGCAAAGAAGAACTAACTGTGTGTCTGCTGGCTCTAAGCATAATAAATGTTCTTGTAACTTGAGTATCTCCGATGGCGAACAATTTTAACTTCAAAAGCTGAGTACTCTTTGTGTGAATCCCCCTGAAAAGACTTTCACGTTTTAAGTAAATACTTTTTGAACAAATCCCTCTCTCTAGTTGAACAATTTTAAATAACGAACAAGAATTGTAAAAAATCATTAGAACCAGATGTTCAGTAAAGTGCTGGTATTGTGATGCTTAATATTTATTATTGAAAGTTGAAAACTGTAAATGAGAAAACCTACCTCGGCCTTGAGTTAGAGTTAAAGCAGAACATCTATCGACTTGAAGATGTGCACATTTCTCAATAGCTGCTGGTTTTTATAATTGTCGCTCACAACGTCGCTTGAAACATAACTTCGAAAGGTTTATCATACATTTTTCGGAATCTCTCAACTACCAAATAATTTATTTGCAACTGATACTGGCACTATAAAAGACATATTGCAACAATTATGAAACATTATATTTTTGTAAAAATATAGTACCTATGTTTTGTCAATTGAATAATATTTTCCCCTATTTCAAATTATTTATTATCGACAATCTAGACAAATTCTTATAAACATTTTTTCATAGACCATTAAGCACTTACTAGTCTTTTAAGGTAGTTGAAATCCTAAGTTAGTAAACAAATATTTTGATAATTATTGAATTGATAATTGAATTAAAATTTAGTCTCGTTGAATGTAAATATTGAATTTTTCTTATGTGGTCAATCAACATTAAATCCAGTAGGCCATTGAAGAACTCTGAATTTTTAAGAATATGTGAGATGAAGGTAAATTTACTTATTAGTGGGATAATTCGAGCTCCTTAAATTGTTTATTGGATCTCTACGTTTGGCCTACAATGTAAATATATACTGAATCTGTAAGCTCTGATGATGAAAAGCGATGTGATATGTTGATTTTTAAATCTATAGCTAACGAAATATTATTAGTTCTTTCTTGTATGCTTTGCGAGCAATTTCAACAAAGGTCTACAATATATTTGTTAGAGAAACATACACGTTTCTAAACCAAATCAATTTGAACTCTTATAAATGTAATTTCCGTATACACTGCGGTTAATATATTGTAGATCTTTATTCTATTAACACTCTGAAATTTCCTAATGTTATCAAATGTACACCTTCAATTTAAATTACAAATTATTTCTTCTCTTAGTTAAATATATAGATATGTAATCATGCGGCTTCTCTAGCTTAAATTGCACATGTACATAAAATTATCTATAGAAAATTGAAATGTCAATCGTCTTTAGTTAAAGGTATAGAATTATAATTTAGCTCTAAACCTATTGGCGGGTTTTCCTTTAAAATAAAAGTGTGATGTGTAAGTTTGACGATTTTCAATTATTTTTTTTTTATTTATTTACCCAGTACATTTACAATTTGTCCGCTAAACAATAAGGAAATCCTATGTCATTTTCTCACAACAGAGAACAGCATATTTAGATGTACACCCAGTGGCATACACCTTTATAACCGTAATTCAATGAATTAGTTATGTTCCGGGCAAGTTAATTTGTCTGCACACCACGAGAATGCATTACAATCTAAATCTTCTAATCAAATCTGGAGGTTTAAATCTCTTTATTCTTCGTATTTCAGGTTGGCTGGTCATCAAGTTAGTTGTCAATTGATTTGAATGTGTGCTTAATTTAATGTGCCTAAAATACACCTTTTAGCATCAAATTTAATGAATACCTCTATGTATTAACCAGACAAAACTACTTGCTTCTTTTATTAAAAAAATATATTTAAATGTTTTCAAAAGAAAATCGATTTAGTAATGTTGAAAATATTGACGGTTTTCAATGCTCCCAAACAAACCAAACTTCCAACTATCTAATTATTGCAGCTACGAAAAGGTAAGTGTAAAACTAGGCATGGGTAACTCAGTTAATTTTCAGGAGTTGGCACAGTGTTGCGGAAATGGCTTATTGCGCCAACCCAATGGAGCGGCACAGTAAGTTACCGGTGCAGTGCGATGCAGTACACCCATTTTCATTTTTCCATTCGTTCCCCTGGCCTCGAAAAGCTATAATCCGGGCCTGGGTTAAATGCTAAATGTAACGAAAAGTGCGGCACAGTGAGAGGCGATGAGTTGACGTGAGTGAGAGCAGACAAAAAACTGAGAAACGAAAAATGGAAGCTCTGAGTTGTGCGTTCAGTAAAGATGAGTGCACCTTGAGTGCCGTCAAATTTTCGATCATCACTCACCGTTAAGAAAATTTTGCTTAGGAATTAAAAAACTGTCGAGGGAACACATTTGGCATCGCGTTTTTCAAAAATGAGTTTTTCAGAAACAAAAAATTCTCCACAAGTTCAGAGTTGTACATTCAATAAAGAAGAGTGCGCTCTAAATGTCGTCAAAATTTCTTCAAACCTTCAAACGTTCATTCAAATCGCTTGAAATCCTGAATTTTGCGCGCTTCGTAAATGTCGGTTTGAAAATGAACGCTTCACACAACTGCATACTCTTCATTAAAAAATTCCAATTTCCAAAGTAAAACCACCAGAAACTGGAAAGACTGACATTACACATAATGTCAGTTAATAATATTAATTAAATAATTAATAATTAGTTAATAAATAAAAAAACCTTCTCTTACAGGAGAAGGTTTGTTTTAATGAAATTTTGAAAAAACATATCCATGAGAGTTTACTCATGCACGTTGTTATAACTGAATCGAATTACAAATTCCCTACCCAATGATCTAAAAATGAACGCTGTGGCTCAAATAGTTCTTGAGCAACGTCAAAAAAGGTGGCGTCATGTTTCAGTCGATTTCGTAATTAAAAAAAACAGGCAAAACTAAAACTATTTACTTTTTTTAACATAAAACTGAACCTGATAGTAATATTTAAATATCTGAAACAGTTCTTTGGAGACAAGCTTCAGAAGAGTCTGATGTAAAAATACAAAACCGCCCAAAATATTCCCAGTTTAAAAATTTCTTGTGAAGAAATCAATGGTTTAATCGGAACCAAATCTAAATTATCAGTAAGTTGATGCTAATTGTATTGAATACCAGAACCCGAATTACGACATCAGCAGCGGTTCTTAAGCGAAATACTCCAAATGAGCTTAATCTAAAAATACAAAGACCCCCAAATATTCCCAAAGTTTAAAAATTAACTACGAAAGAACCAACAGCTCAATCGATACCATATCCACGCTACGAGTCAGTTGATGAATGTGGGACTAAAAGCTCTAGATGTGGATGGCAACCGGGGCAAAGTAATGCTAAACTTACCGAAAGCTGCGTAGTGCCACCTGGAAAGAAAGAAGAAAATTTGATTAATACAGCAGAAAATCTGTCCAATGCCAAACTTATTTGAAATCAGCACAGTAGAGGGAGAAATATAAAGAATCCATAAAATTTCCGTTGGTTGTCGGAAAACTAAACTCAGTTCAAGCTAAAAGATTTATAGATTAGAAATAATTCTTACCAGCTTTATGCAAGTCCCATCCTCCATTTTCTGCTCAGTATTCCTCAAGAAGTTCACTACACTTTCACAATCTACCGCACTTGCCATAAGGGCACACTGATTCTATTTTCTGTGTTTATATTTATTTAAAAAAGACACCGAACTAGAGAATAAACATGATTTAATTGTTCGCCCTTTCTATGATTCATTGCTCTGCTATTTCTTGGCAGTTCGATTTCAGTTTGTTTATTCTTGACATTTTTGTAGAAAGTGACTGTTCGCATTGCAATATTTCCGAAGGCAATTTTCACGTTCCCACTTATCGAAAGTCAACAACAACTGAACGAAAAACGCTCCAAGAGTCGATCTTTCACTAATTTAATTTAAAATTTCGAGCCATTTTTAATTGTCTGAATTTCAGTCTGAGATTAATGCACATCAAAACTAAAATTAATAACCGAATTAATTTTGTTTTTCTAAAAATATTGACTAATCAAAAAAGCCGCGAATAAATCACTTAAAAATAAAACAATGAAACTGTTGCTCAATTTCCGAGCGATGATGGAAATCAACAAAATTTCAACTAATTCAAAATGTCCTTTAAAAGGCCTGATTTCTAGAATTATTCCGCCACACGCGCAATTTGAGGTGGGACGCAGCGAGGATGAGAGATAACTCACCAAATTACAGAGCGGTATCAGCTCAAACGCACAACTCAACACAGTGTTACCCAGGCTGGTTATATAGCAGCAGAATTTTTTTCTTAGAAACCCCCGTTTTTTTATTTTTCATTGACTAACGGCCGTTTTGATTCGAATTAATAAAAAAGTATAATTTCGTTGCAAAGATCTGAAACAAATTTTGCTACGTTTATGAAGTTTTAGATATCAATGAATAGTTCCAACCTCATTTCAGAAGTCAATTGCGAAACGTGTCGTAAAAATGCGGGACTGAAACCTTTTTTTTAAAGAGCATCATATTCAACGCCAATGAATGATGACTTTTTGCAATAGGCGGATATTCAAAAGGTAAAGTCAGCTGAAAATAAATAGCAGCCACACACGCATGAAGAAGGGTCAAGCGAAAATTCTGATACCTGCACTAGCCGGAAAAACAAAGAAAAACCGCCTCGACCCGATTTTCACGTACCCAAGTTGCATGTGTATAGCGATTACTGGCTAAGGTTTTCCAATAACGATCGTCATAAATTACCCAATTTTTCTATTACACAGATGCAATTACCTTTTTGTTCTAGATTACTTTCCTCGTCGATGAAATTATTCACTTAGCTTGATTACCGAAAATTATTTTCAAGTCGAATGCCTACTAAACAAATTGGAAAGCCTCGTTTTCTCGATAGACGTTGTTAAAATTGATCTTTTAAGTATTCAAGATAGTATTGATTATTTATTTTACTTTTTTTCGTTGGGTTTTCTGATAGCAAAATGTTGAAAAAGGAAAAATACGGAATTATAGTTAAAGATGACGTAAAATCGCTCTATAAGGAAAAACGGACCGTAAGAATTTCAATCGTTCTTAAGAATTAATTGAACCTAAAATAGTTCACATGTCGCGAAAAAGAGACGTTTAAAATTTTAACTAAAACAAGAATTTGGCGATTCCTTCTCCAACTACTCTTTACAGTTTAAAGTCCAATACTTAATGCTTCTTTCAAATGGAATCCAAACAATAAACAGGCAAATAAGACAGCATATTTTAAAAATATGGTTTTGTCAATTTTACCTAAATCTTCTTATGCAAAAGTCCTTATAGATCTCCCTAGACTAAATTTTTGTATCTTTAACGTGGTTCTTTGACACGTTTTTTAATCGTTTAATTGACGCGTTTCCGAAGTTAATCGCATTTAGAGTATAAGTCAGAAGATACTGCAGGTACTGCATTTGGAAGGCTGAACTAATATTTTTAGTTTTTTTATTTGCTATATTTCGATTTTCTTAGTTTCAAAATTTAAAAAGGGTTTTAGAGGATAACGGTATTTTTGCCCCGATTGAGCATTCGAGTGTTAAAAAAACTCAAATTAATTTCAGATTTTGTTTGCTTGATTTAAGTATGAGAGGCAAGGCTATATCTTGAATCAAAGATATTGTAAAGCTTCGGGTGTGAATTTTTAATAAGACTAATAAGTTTTCCTAGATAGAAAATGAAACCGACATAAAACCTCACCAGATGTTTAGATTGCTGTATATATCTAAACACTATATTTATTGAGCTTGTAAATCTGTATATTAATTATGTTAATTAATTTTTGTCAACTCATTTATACTAATATGAAGGTTCTTCTGTAGGGTCTTTAGGCATGTAATCGAAACTCGTTTGTGAAATGCTAATGAACATGTCAACACAAGATGGAAATAAAAATATAGGTAGGTACTTCGACATTTAAACACATTTGTTGCAACGCATTGAAATTCTAAATTTACGAAAAAATTATGAACGTTTTCTATGCAAAAGTAAGATTTTTTAAACAAATGTTAAGCAGAAAGCAACTTTAGAAATATAGGTTTGATTTGATTGGTTTTATTCAAAAGATTCGTGTAGTTTGTCTTCAAAATTTTCCAAAAGGCTTCAATCTAACTGCAAGTTATTTGCTCAACGTAATGTCTACTTTTTAGAAAATTTGCTAAAACCACAATGAACAAAAAATGAATGAATAAATAAAGAATAATGCTCTGCTCAAATATTGCAGACACTAAAATAGAGACTGTTTTTATTACCAAGTTAAAAACATAAAATATCTATGAATATAGTTCAGGAGGGAATTTAAATAAATACACGTTTATATCAAGATATTTTATGCCAGATTCCACGACAATTCACCTGCTAGTTGATGTGACCTGATATATTATTCAGAGCCACGAACATACTAAATTTCGCACTGTTG